GATTCTCTCTCTCTCTCTCTCTCTCTCTCTCTCTCTATTGACACACATAAATATAAAATTTTTTTCTACAAAGCTATATGTAACACTAGCATGAACATATTTTTGATGGTTTATCGACTCTGCTTGTTTTTTTTTATATCTTGTATTTCAATATTTATTGCAGTTAAGAACTTATCGCAAATGGCAGGATGCTTCCAATTGCCATCATGAATCTTCTAGAGTTACTATATTTTGATCTGAAAGCTAACTTCTGATACCATCATTTTCTTTTTTCATTTTCATTTTAAGAACGTGCTAAAGAACGGCTTACTTTAATCAGCATGCATGCAGGTCAGATCCTTCTATTTTTGAGGAATGCTATGAGTTCCTTCTGCTGGTTGCTTCAGCTTCTGAGAATGCGATAACACAAATTATCGAGTCTGGTTCAATTCAGCCTTTGGCTCGGCACATCTCTTTCTTGCCCAATGGTACTTATTTATGACTATATTTTATTCGTGATATTTTGTTTGTCTTGCGGATAATGTAGTAGAATTTATGACTACTATGTAATTTTGTGGTTTGTTTGTTTTCATTCATGTTATCAGATGTTTATCTTTTCTAACCCGAGTCTTTCAGAATACTTTCCCTTTTATTTCATGCTTTCCCTCATTTGAAGCTTCTTTCAGTGCTTATTGCTTCTTGAGCCCGAGAGCATCTATACATTGAAATGTCTTGCTACTAAAGAAAATAATTTCTTATGCATTTGAATTATTTGGTTTATTGGAAAGAATCTTGTATAGTTCTCCGTAATTACTGTAATAGTTAGGTGCAAAACTTTGTGCTGTTATTATGATTATTATTAATAATTTGTTTATTTATTTAATTTTCATTTTCATTGTGTATCTTTGCCTTCTTCCATCAAGTGATTTCTCAGTTTTGAACCTCAAGGAACACATAATTGAAGCGCCATAGGTGACACTGCACAGGCATACCATGATATGCATGAAGCCGTGAAAAATATTGGAGACTGTAGCGAGCTGTACATGCATGCACGCACACTATGCAGGCACATTTTGTTAAAAGCTAAAAGTAGTATATTGATATCATACTTTACAAAAATAAATTAATATTTTTAATAGTGTTGTAAAGTGTAAAACTAGGAATGCATCTCCTGACGACATTATTAATGTTCATGTTGTAAAGCACCAAATTGAAAATACTTGAAAGAGTGACAACAACACAAAGTATTGCATTCTTAGAGGAAATATCATGCTAAGATTTTAATATAAGATTTTTTTGGCGTATAATTGAGTAGAGACATAATTGCAAAAAACACATAGTAGCTTGCTTTATAGCTTATCGAGTGGTGAGGCATGAGAGGCACACTCCAGGGAACCATTTCTGTTGAGAGGCACAAATGATTATAATAACATTGGCTATTTGTGCTTTGACAGTGCTATATAGTGCATAGCGTTGTGCATGTGCTCACTTGCTCTATTTGGGAGATGAGAAGATGGTGACTTTTTTTTGTTGATGAAGATGAGGGTGATGTTGTGAGAGCAGATAATGATGAGTAAAATAAGTTTTTTTTTTGTTCGGTTTACTATGATGATTCTTTGGATGAATAATTTAGTTTTTAAACTTGAACATGTATCTTGAATTCTTATTCAACTATTATTTATGTTTTGGGAGTAAATATTCCCTTGAGGATATTTCATTTACCTTTTTGATGGAAGCCCAATGTTTTGTTTTTTGTTGTATTATTAATTATTTGTGCTGATTATTTGATTCGCCAATCAAATTATATCTCTGCCATGATTGCTGATTTTCAATATGATTTTCTTTAAAAAAATTTAATGTCCGTTAAAAGTTGGATAATCATATATTCTATTTATATGATAATTTAGTTTTTTAAGGATGTTTTTCTCTTATATTGTTTAGTCTTTGACAATCTATACATAGCTTTTGATGATTTGAAATTTTTTTAAAATAGCATCACCATGGGGTATTTTATGGTGCAAATGCCCCTTGTAACTTGGTGTTGATGTATATGGAGTAGTGGGTGTGATTTAAGGTCAACAAAGGACAGGCTTTGAGGAAGTAGGAGTGATATTGGAGATGAACCAAACCACAATGAAAATACAAATATTATTGCTGAAATTTAAATATGTTACATCAACCATTCCTCAATATAAACAATACAAACATGAAACGAAAAAGACAACGACAACACTGCGAAAAATAAGAAGTAAATCAAAACACATAAACGACTGTTTCTATGGGAGAGCGATAACTCCTGCAAGATTGGAAGGGAGCAGCGGTAGTGCTGGAAGATGAAATCTAGCAAGTGGTGATGGTGTTGCAAATGGTGGACAACGGTAGGAAGAGGGCTGGAGGTCTAGTTGGCAGTAGGGATGGGACGGGAGGCCTGTGTGGTGGTTGGAACGAGACTGGAGAAGGGCTGCGGTGGCCCTGAACAGTAGCAGACAGGTGGTGGTGAGCAGGACGACAACAAGCAGGTGGTGTCCAGAGGCTGGGCAACAGCTGGACGAGGTGAGGGTGTTCCGGACAGTCACAGGAACAGGTATCGGGGGGCTAGATAGTAGCAGGAACGAACCTCGGAGGGGCTGGCGACAACAATAACTGACTTGAAATCGGGGGGCTCTCGGAGGGGCTGGCGACAACAATAACTGACTTGAAAGGGCTTAGTGGCAGCAGAAAAGAGCTAGGAAGCCTGGATGGCGGCTGGAAGGTGGCTTGCGGCTACTGGAAGGGGGCGGAAGGCTTTGATGATAGCAGAGAAGATGGTTTGTGGGTACTGGAAGCGAGGCTGAAGGGGGTTGCAGAATGATAAATGTCTCACCAGGGCTAAGCTAAAGCCGGAGCATCACCCTGACCCTTGGAAACGGTTGCCACTTCAGACGAGTTACAGCCGAAGGACCTTGTCGTCGGGTACAGCTTCTTGAGGGGAAGAATGCCTCAAAGGCAGCAAAACCTCTCCACCCGAAATAAACGCAACATTATATAAAGGATCCTAGCATAAAGAAATAGGAAGTAATTTGAAATTAGGATAAAAATGTAAATATAAAAGGGGATTGAAAAGACAAGCAATAGAATAATAATGAATTGGAATTGGATAGAAATAGGAAAGGAGAGGGGGAGGGAAGCGCGATACTCTCGCGGTGCTGTAGCAACTACGGTACCGCGTTCGTGGCATTGTAGGAGCTACAGTACAACGAGCTGGTAAGTTTCTGCATTCAGGAGGTTTTGTTGTGATGTGCAAAAGAAGTCTTGATTTTTTATGTGTTGGGGATGGGTGAGAACTTGAGTTAGTAGTGTTTGGATTGTGATATAGTAAATTGTTGATGAGGGTGATCCAGTGAGGAAGTCTTCCCCCATTATTATGGGGGAAAATATGGGAGGTTGGTAGGAAAATGTTTTTTATTCTGGGGAGGGAAGGGAGGAGTTGGTCTTGTACTAGTATGAGTTGGGGATTATTTGGTGAAGTGGCTAGAGGCAATTAGAAGAGGGCCCCAGTAGACTTTTAGGTCTATTGTTTAGGAAATGGGAGGAAGGTATGTGGTAGGATTAATATTTAGGAAAAATAGATGGGAAGTAAAAACTTGCACCAAAGAATTCTAAAATATATAAAAACCACTTTCTTTATGAACAAAATCTCCAAGTTTATGCTGACTTCTTCAATCATAGTTGTCCAACATCACATGTTTTTGTAATTTGAGTTCCATTGGACGGGCACTTGCAATTGATGATCTCGTTCTATTGCGATAACTCCTAAGGATGTATAATTCCTAGATAGGATAAATTTGTAGAAATTGCTCCGGAAGGAAAAATTACTTGACTATAAGATGTAGATTATCAGGAAGGTTTTTGAAGATTTCAAACTAGTTGGGGCTTGACAGGTGGGTCTTTTCGACGAAAAACATTTTATGTTACAGCTGAGCATAGAAGAATATTACACAGATTTTCTCAAAGAAATTCATCACAATCGAGAGCAATCATATGAAATTGCTCAAATGATTTTGATCATAGTAAAAAACCCTCAATTGTACCTATCTGGTTCTCATTTTCTGAATTCAAGCTTCAATTCTTTGACGTACCTATTCTATATGCAGTTGGGACTATCCTCGGAAAACATTTGTAGGTAGACACACCTACAGTTCATTTCTCACGACCCTCTATTGCAAGGATTTTTATTGAAAGGGATATTACACTACTAGATGAAGAAGAAGTCTGGCTTGGCTCTGCTCATAATGGTTATTGATAAAAAATCATTATGGAACAAAAATCTTACTAATGCAAATACTGCAAGATGTGTGGACACCCGCAAGAGAAATGTTTTAGATTGCACCCACAGTTGAGAACTAATAATCAAAGGCAGAAACATGCTGTTAGTGCACTCCACGTGTTTAAACGCGCTCCCAACAAACTTGATGATGATGTGTGGACACCCGCAAGAGAAATGTTTTAGACTGCACCCACAGTTGAGAACCAATAGTTAATAATCAAAGGCAGGAACATGCTGTTAGTGCACCCCACGTGTTTAAACGCGCTCCCAACAAACTTGATGACAGCCAACCCGATGAGGGAGTCACCAGAAGACAAGAAATAGTGTCTGCCCTTGTGAACCCTTCTCCTGACTATACTATAAGGGATAATATTTAGACCGAAAGTCAGGATAGCCCCTCAACTTCTATTCAGGAAGCATCAGGTGCAGATGTGACATTTCACACTTCACATACATTGAAACTTATCGCTGTGACAATGACTATGTTTCATTCTACTGTAGTTTTAATATCTAATCAGACTGATGATCACATGAGCTAGTCTTCAGATGAAGAATGACAGATTTACACTTCTCGGCGGAAGAAGAAAGCTGGTGGCACACTCCAACTTGGAAACTTAATGGGTGATACTTTGGTTACTCCTGACAATGATACGACACTTCAAAGTTTGTTATCTGTATCCGCTCCTAAACTAGAGGAAGAGACATGACTAAACAGACTCGTCCATAGCTACTTGTTTTAAATTTTTTGAGTCTATTTATATCTTTTTGTTGGGGTAGTACTGTACTTAATATCGTATGGGTATGGTGTCTTTATTGGGCCATCTCATACAACCTTTATGTATCTTTTCTATTTCAATAAAATTAGCCCTTGGGTTTTTCATATATATATATATGAAAATCAATCCCTCCTAATTAACAAATTTACTAAATATATCTAATCTAAATTTGGAAAGAAATAAATTTGAAATAAAAATAACAAAAGTATAAATAGAAAGAGTATAAAATTAATAAAGGAAATTTCAAAGTTATCTCCCAATTCAATCTTCTATGATTGGAAGGTGGCTGGTCGATCCACCTAAGGTTCCTGATTTTCTACTCTCTCTCAAGTTGGGTCATAGATGTTGTAGCGACCAAGCTTGATATTGAACTCTGAGAAGAAACTCAAAGGAAGAGCTTTGGTGA